GTGTATATATAGTATATAATTTTTTTATATTTTTTTTAAAATTTTTTAAAACATTTGCGACGGAATGCGACGGAAAAAAATCCGTCGCAAATTGCGACGGAATTATCCGTCACTTTCCGTCGCAAAACGCAGATTTTTTCCGTCGCAAAAATGCGACGGATTAACGACCGTTATACGTTTGCGACAGCGCTATACCGACGGAAATAAATCCGTCGCATTCCGTCGCAAATTCTTAATTGCGACGGATTTCCTTTATATTTGCGACGGATTTTTCCGTCGGTATATAACTATTTTCTTGTAGTGGGAATCGGTGCGGTTCTTTCAGTTTTATAAAAATAGGTACCAATCGGTTTTTATATTGTATTTGGTTCGGTTCGGTTTAGGTATCGGTTCGATTCGGTTCCGAGTTTTATTAAAAAAAATGATAGATTTCCTTTAAAAATATTCGGTTTTTCGGGATTTTTAAAGTTCGGTTCGGTTCGGAAAAATTAGGTTCTCTAAAAATGGTACCGTTCGGGAATTAAGAACGGTTTCGGATCGGGAAAAGTACCGTTTTTTCGGTTCGGTTCGGTCCGGTTCCGAAGAACCGAACCGAAACGCCCAGCCCTAGACCGAGCTAGATTGGGGTGTGGCGAGCTAGTCCGTTTTCCACCCTGCCTCATACCGGCACTACAAAAAAAATGCAAAATTCCAACGGATATTTCCAACGGATTAATCCGTTGGAATAATTCCAACGCGTTTCTAATGGATTTCCAACGGACGTCTAATGGATTCGTCCGTTAGAAATCCGTTAGAAATTTCCAACGGCATATCAACGGATATTTGAGTTGGAAAATTTTCACGAATATTCCAACGGATTTCCGTTGGAAATAACGTTCGACAAATTTCAACGGCAACCCGTTGAAATTATCTGAACGTTATGAAACGCGGCAATGATTCCAATGGATATCCGTTGGAAAGTGTAACGGTAACGACGTTTTCAACGGATTTCCAACGGACATCCGTTGGAAAGTGTTCTATTTAAAGCATCCGGTCATATTTCGCCCAAACCACTCTCTAAATCATTCTTATACTATTCTTACACCAAAAATTCTCCTAAAAATGACATCTTCAACAAATCCGAATATTCGTTCGTCCCCGCAGTGGATATACGAAAGAGTTGATTCGATTACAAAAGAGGTAACGCAAGAATTCATTAACGGTTTGGAACAGTTTATGAATTTTGCTTCTATACAGCCGTTGTGTCAAGAACGTAGAAAAATGCTATGTCCATGTACAACTTGTCGCAATTTTAAATATCGCAGTCCATAAGATGTTTGTAAACATCTATTTCGAAGGGGATTTGTCGAAGATTATTATATTTGGCGATTTCATGGAGAAGAAGTTCGGACAATCACAACGGGACAACATGTCTCGGCCGAGCAGAGGTATGTTGTAGATGAAGATGTAAGAAATCCTTATGTTGAAATGGTGACAAATGCTTTTCCTGAGGCATTGGCTGAGCAAAACTCATCAGAAGATCATGAGGAGCCAAACGTCGAAACAAAACGGTTTTTTGACATGTTGGATATGGCAAATCATCCTGTCTATGAAGGATGTAAAGAAGGTCAGTCACGTTTATCTCTTTCATCAAGATTGATGAGTATGAAAACGGATTACAATGTCACCGAAAGTTGCATGGATTCATTTTGTCAAACGTTGCGTGAATATTTACCTAAAAATAACGAAGCTCCAGAATCGTATTATGATACGAAGGCTATGTTGAAGAATTTGGGAATGCCTTATGAAAAGATTGATGTTTGCAAAAATGGTTGCATGCTGTACTGGGGTGAAGAAAAAAAAGTACACCGATAAAGTTTACAAAGAGTTTAACCAGTTGGGTATGCAGCGGTTGAAACAAATGATGAACAATGCCAAACGCCGTCATCAGCTGCATGAACTGCCACCGGAGTGGGCAACAAATGACTTGTACCGGCAGCTTCTTACGCATTGGAACTCAGACCATTTCAAGAACAAGAGTTCCAAGGCGAAACAAAGTCGTTTGTCCCAAAAAATCGAGGGTGATGGGCCTCATCGTCATACCTCCGGTGCTAAATCATTCAAGAAGAGGCAAAAAGAGATAATATTTATTTAAACTTTAATTTAATTTTTAATTAGTTTTTTAATTGTAGATTTTTTATTATGTTAATAATATATATATATATATATATATGAGAAAGAAATGGGGAGAACGCCATCAATCGTAGAGTTGGTCGCTCGGACACACAAAAAGTCTGATGGGACATATGTCGATCCCCGTGCAGAACGAGTTGTAAGCACGATAACTCAAAGACTTACCCAACTCTCGCAAAATGTTGGCGATTCAGCAGGTTCTTCATCCGGCTCTCTGCATCGACCAAGATCGTTACTATGTGGAGGTAAAAGTTTTAATAATTCATTTTTAAATATTATATTTTAATACTTTATTTCAATTTTAAATATTTTCTTCATTTTTCAGTCGGTCTCTCCAAATAAGGGCCGCATCTATGGATTAGGAGGATTGCAGCGAGATTTGTTCGATGATTTCGGTGCAGCAATTCCTCCTGGCATGCAGAGCGATCTCGAACAACAACGGCGGATCGAAACACTCGAGCAACAGCTTGCGGCGACGAGGCAACAAGATGACTAACCTCGAACAAATCGTTGAGCTTTTGCGGGGTGATCGGCCACTCCACAACACGCCGCCAAGCTCGGGAGCAGAAACGACGGCACGTAATCTCGGGACTAACGAAGACGAAGAAACCCGTAGTGCCAATTAATTATTATTGTTGAAAATATTTTATATTTTCTGTAATATTTGAACAATTTTTTATTTTAATATTTTAATTTTATTTTGATTTTATTATATATATATATATTTATTAACAGAATAAATATATATATATATATATACCTTTTTTGTTTTATATTAAATTTGATTTGGATACCGTTATGTATTATTCCTAAATGTTTAATATATAAACGGTATCCAAATCAAATTTAATATAAAAACCAAAACGTATGTGCATGAAATAAACCGAACCAGATCCAATCATAACAGAACACGAATACTAATTCTACAACCCAAATGTTACAGCCCTAAGTGAAAGTGTGTATTGTCATATTTTTTTTTTTGTTAAAAGGTAAATTCCATTAATGTCAAATTAAATGTACAAGGCCGGGGTAGTTGTTTACATAGCTCGAAACATTCGAAAGAAAGTAGGCAGATGATCAAGCGGCGATTTCAAAGTGGCGAAACCAGATAATTACAGGCCCATCCTCAGTACTAGGGCCGAGGGAGTGGCGGAGGGAACTGATTCTCCGCCGAGTGATTCGCAGGATATCTCGACGGAGGACAGCCGACGGTCGGGCGGCGCAACCATGTACCCTTGCATTTCGTTCCGACCAGATTGTGTATACAGAAGCTTGGAAGAGCAGTAAGAGCATGAGTTTAATGAGAGGGTCACCTTGAAAGTGGATCAGTTTGTGGATCTGATCCAGTAGTGATTGGTTGCACGCAAACAAGTGGCTGAAATCACCCATCACTGATGGCCATACTTCCGAGGAGTAGAGACAGTTGAAGAACAGGTATTCAGTCGATTCAATCGAGCATAGACAACAGGTTGGGTGGGCGTTGATGCCCCAAGAACACAGTCGGTCAACAATCGACAACCGATTCTTGACTGCTAACCAGGAAATGAAGGAGTGCTTTGCACCGCTTTAGAAAACTTGGCCCATGCCTTAGCCCAACTTGGAAAACTGATCGCATACACATAAATTACAGTACATATAATTTGGACAAGTAAACTAATTATATATATATATATATATAATTTTACGGTTCTACAAGTTTTGGTAATTGTACGGTTTTACACACACTGTCTTTATAAGTATTAAAGTATATATAAAGACGGTGTGTGTAGACAAAACTTATCCAAATTTAGCCATTTGCTTAATTAGTTAACTCTGTGGTCATATAGATTTTTCTCTTCTACAACTATACAGACACACATATATCCCTTTTTTATAACGAATTTATTGGTTTATTTAGTTTTTACATTCTATTTTACAAGTGATTTATATATATAAAAAAAAGTTACTGATTTGAAAAAACAAACATTACGAGTAAACCCGAACGTATAAATGCATGTGCCATTCGTTAATCGTACTGAATTTGGCGTTTAAAAGATACTCCCAATTCACGGAAGAATTACAATGACCACTCATTTGGTTAACATGGACTGCATGCATAATTTAAATAAATTATACATACTTAAGAAAGTAAAAGTTTATAATAAAAAAAAAATCCATCCATCGCTAGAAGATTAAAAAAAAATTACAAACACTAGAAATGCCACATCATTCGAAACATCATCGAATACGCAAAGTTTGCATTTGCATTTTGGAACCAAACACACTCATTCTCCGTCATTCATATTTAAACCTAAAGAAGCAAAGCATCAATCCAAGTTCACGGCCTAGTAACGGTCAAAAGACGAAGCCCCCCCCCCCCCCCCCGCCACCACGGCTCGGCCGGTCATAAGGGCCTGCCCTGCTCCTGAACCCTCTTCCCTCTTCTCGTACCGGTCCCCCGGCCCCGTACCTGTCACTGCCTGCTGCCCGTTCATAAGGACGTGCTTTCTCATAGCCGTTTAGAGGGTAACGGTCCGATCTCCCGCCATTTCTGTCACCGGAAAAGCGATCCACCGGAGGAGCATACCTGTGTCATAAGGCAAGACTGTTTTTTTTTTTTCCGATGGGAAAGGGTCGTTTGGTTTAAAAAGTTAAACCTAATAGGAACCGAGAGCTAACCTGTCATTGGAGTATCGGTCACGGCCTATGTAGGTATCCCGACTGTCAAACCGGTCTCTGACACCGAGTCGTGAGCTGTCGTGCTGATCATCTATGTACCTTCCTCTGTCCAGATAGCGGTCACGGTCACGGTCACCATAGCGGTCCACACGGCCAGCAGAACCTCCATACATACCGGAAGAAGAAAACGAACCTACAGCAGCCACTGGTCCAGCTCGGCCACCAGAAGCAGACGGGCAATCACGGGCCCAGTGGCCAACCCGTCCACACCTGAAGCATTCATCATCGGCTACACGGCCAACCCCACCCCCACC